GGGCTCTTCCGTGTAGGAGTCGCTCTCAACCAGTGTCGAACGTAGTACAACCGCCTCAAGCACGTTTTCCCCCTTGAAAGGTTGGGTATCCTTGATAAGAGCGATCTGGCTAGGACCGCTCAAAAATGGCTAGAAACACAGAATTTTGCAAGACCTTCTTCAGGAGGGTGCTTACCAACAATAAGTGCATGACGCATCACTGGCTGTTCACTGGCTTTAGCACGATGTTCTGTGGCTTTCTGTGTGTGCCTGTCAAAGTGTGTACATCCATTGGAAACGATTTCGATCAATAGTTTTTACAGGAAGCCGGAAATCATGCATCACATCATGATCAACGTTCGGCGATCAGTCGAAGTCATTCTGCTGGAGGTTCAGAACGTCAAGGAGCCAGTAAAGTCAACAGAAATATCAACAGGTTTGTAGTTCTGATTACTGGTGAACGAATAAGTAAATTGAACTGCAAAAGGTTATGGTACCGAGGTGAAAGCTGATTCTTTCCCGAGGGGGTTAGAGGAACTTATGCTCGTTTATCCAGTAGCTCATATGTATCTGCAAGATCTGTTGATTGTACGCGTTTGTGTTGCTTGAATTCATTCATTTCAAAAGAAAAATTATTTGCTAATAAGTAAATGTAAATTTGAAGTTAAGAAGATCTTTTTTGTTCTGTACATGTATGTTTACTTATGTGTTTTGACTTGCGGAACTCCACCACAGCCCAGAAAGTAAGGTAGAAGCGGTAATTGTCTGTCTAGAAGCTCATGAAGAGGGGAAGCACAACTTGGGCTGGATAGTGGGCCCTGGGAGATAGGGATAGATAGTATACCTAAATCTTATACTTTCGGGTGGGTGGTTGTAATTCATATGAAAATCAAAACAAGTAAAATGATAAATGGTTTACCCTGCTCGAGTAGGTCAATGAAGCCGTGAAAGTTAATCAGACAAAAATCCGTTTTCATGTTTCAGCAAATGTTTTGACTTTAAAAGACGTCATTTCAGAAGTCGTTGACACAACAAAACCTAGTGAATGACTATCCCAATCAATGCATGAAAACTGATAAAAAACGTTTTACAGATTCTCCAATTTCGTCAAGTCCGGGATGGAGGCGTACGTTCTGGGCGAGTCTCGAATGAATGGACAACCTGGAGAGAAGCACGAAGTTATTGTGAGTTTCCTCTTTGCAGTAGCTGTCACCACCTGATGGAAAAAGTTGAAATTGTACGTGCGGCTGCGATGCGGTCTGTTTTGTTGCGCCTCGGCTATCCAGGATTATAACCACTTTTGCGAAGACTACGATATTTCCTGCTTTTTTATTATGTGTTGATTTCCAGATCAGTGGCCCATTGGTACAATGGCGCCCCATACAGCAATATTACACATGTACAGTCGATAAACCAAAAAAGGAAACAAAACTGAAGGGATTGAAGAGTTTTATTGCCTATTCACTTACCTCAACACTCAGTCGGATACAGGTAATTTTGAAAAATATTGATTTTGTTTACCACTGTGCAAATGTGGTGAATTCCCTGGAAACCGATGCATCGAGCTCGCACTGGCTTTTCTTGGAAAAAGCGCTATGTCTGAGCGGAGTTTTGCGCTATGAGACAACTGGCCAAGGATGGCTCTGCGTAGAATGGATCATTTTCGATACTACACCAGTTTGAATAAAGATGTATTTTGAGTGGCAAGCTTGGCCAGTGACCAATAAGTTTCCTTGAACTTTCGATAGGGCCAGCAAACCCGACCATCTCCACGTGTGCCCCAAGTCGTGTGCGTTAAATAACGCTTCATCTCAATCTTCTGAGCGATACACGCCCAAAACAACCGAGCCAC